GCTCCAGGCTCCAACACCCTCACCCCAAAGAATTTTCTCCTCCTGCTGCTCAGGTGGCACCTCCTGGGTTCCAGTTGGTGCCCGTTGCCCCTTGCCCTGTCACTTGGCACCACAAGAGTCTAACCCCATCCTCTTGACACACACCCTTTAGGTAACAGTTATTAATGCTTATAAATATCAAATTACTAGTTATTCTATAACCTATTTTGTTTGCTTTTTGTGAAGCAAGAAAGCTTGGCTAGTTTGAACAGTTTGATAGAACACCTTGGCTGTTCTGTCAAGGCAGATTTGCAACCTGGGCACTAAAACAACAAAACTAGCAGGTCAGCAACAAGTGGGAGCTTTCTTTTTAAGAAAAGGGAGAGAAAAGCAAGAGGCAGAAACTCACTAGAAAAAAAAAAATTTAATGTTTAACAACCAGACATTTAGATTTCATTCTGATATTCTAAATCCTTTTCCCAACAGTGAGAGCTGTACCTGAGGACACAGGACATTCTATTGGTTTACTTGAAAAGAATCGTGTTTATGGCAACACCAAACATGAAGGCAAGAGTGTCTCTCTCTCTATATATATATATATTTATTTTTAGGCCTTAGTGCACTTTAAACTTTAGAGTTTTAAGCACAGCAATCATTACATAGACAACACATGGAAGTGACACAACCAAACTTAGCTAAACACAGTGCTGGAGCCTCCAGAACACGATCCAGATAACAGAGGGCAGTGACACGGGTGGGTTTAGAAATACATTTGTCCCATGGTGCTACTCTAAGCACTTACTGAAAATTTAACATCTCAGGGAGTCCCACTCAGCCCCTGGCTCAAACTCTGGTGGTTTCTGTGACCCTGTGACATGATTTGTGTGGACTCGAGTGTCTCCTGTGCCCAGTCAGCACCAACCACCCTTGGACAGTTCCGTGACATTAATAAGAGAAAATTGAGATAAAAGATTAACCTTATGATTTTTGAGGGCAAACATGCACAAATAAATTCTGCAGCACATTGAAATCACCAAAACACTCATTTCAAAAATATATTTACTCAGCATAAGCATTTCACCTCATTTACCTTATCCTCTTGCCTTGCAGTTAACGTGTATGTGAAAGTGTTCACAAACAGCCCATTTCTAGTCTGTATGGATCTGGCTCATTCTCAAGAGGAAGTAATAGACCCCAAGTATCTGTGGATTGGTCCAGATGGAAAAAATTTAGAAGGTTAGTCACTTTGCTCAGACTACAAAGGATTTCCACTCTGCCTGAGCCCATTTTTCCCCAGTCACTAACAGAACAGGCTTTGTACAGGCTTTTCTCACAAACTTTGAGACAGCCTCTGCCTCAGGGGGTGGGAGGCAATCAGGAAAATATGCTGAGATAGAGAAATAGTTTCTGTTTTCTCTTTAGAAGGGGAAAAGTCAGCCACAAATGGCTAAGAAGATTACTGTATGTGAAATCACATATTTTCCTTCTTTCTATTGATGCTACTCTGCAGTGGGGTGGTGGCTCCAAATAGTCACTCAGTCCTCAGTCATATTTTTCCACAAGCTCTCACACTTAACTTTTTTTTTTTTTTTCTTATCCCTCTAAAATTTTCAGATGCTTGAGGTAGAAGGAAATTTGAAGTCAGTCCCAAAGGTCATAAATTTCAGACAAACAAATCACTGTCATTATGTACAAGAGCAAGAGCTCATCTTCCAACTTCCTAAAGGAGCAGAGCATCAGAAATGGAACAATTCCAGTGATGGAGTGTTTCCTGTTTCTGTTCTAGGGCAGAGTTATGTGAATCTCACAGAAACAGGAAGGTTTCTGATGGTGATGGGGTTTAAGGAGTCTATGTCTGGAGCCTACACTTGCACCCTCTCTCACAGTATCGTAGAAACTACAACACAAGAAGAAAGAGAAATGGTTGAGCTGTATAAATTCATGGTGTATGGTAAGGCTGCTGATTTAACAGTAAGCTAATGCATGTAGCCTGTGTGGTTTGGGGGAGTTTGTGAAGCAAGGCTTGATAGAAAAAAAAAACACTTTATCCTGGAAATTCTTTAATTTTTACATGCATGCACACTCCTAGTTTTGGGAAGAGTTTTAAATCACTCTTACCAAGAATATACAGCAACCCAAAGAATAAAAGAATCCCTACCCTTAATAAGAACAAAGTGAGCTGCAACAATTCCAGAGATATCCAAGCTCTGAAAAGGGAGCTCACGTCCAAGTGCTGTCTCCAGTGAGACATCACCACGTGGAACCCAACTGGTGCAGAAGGAGCCCTCTGCCCCAGCTGCACACTCCAGCCTTCCTCCACGTTTGCAACCACTGCTAACCAACAAATTCACCCCCAAAAATCACATTCCAGAAACACCAACTTTAATTTTAAAAACCCCTTTGCTCTGACACTACAATCACAGAATGTCTGGGCATAATCCCAGTCCCATTTCAGCTGCACAGCTCCACAGACATCAGTTCTGTGTTATTTTGCTATTTAACCCCTTTCTTTTCCATCTTTGGAAGCAGAGCCTCCTACTATAAGCACATAAATTCCTGTGTACTGCAAACCAACACGTCTCTCACCATTTGAGTCAGCTCTGGCAGGGATCCATGGTTATGTTCTGGGTAATGAGTAACCTTTATTTGTTTGTTTCCTTTGGAATAAGAGCATGTGGTTCAGCTCCAAAGGGCACTGATACAGACGATAAGGTTCAGTGTAAGACTCAAATCTGTGATTCCACCCCAGAATTCTCACACCAGCTCGCCAGCATACAGGGGAGCTGACCACACGTACCGGCTGTTCGCTCGCTTCACCACAACCAGCTGTGAGCTAGCAGCAAACAGCCACTTCTTTGGGGAGCTAAAGAAGATCTTAAATAACACCATCTCTGACCTGACCTGTCACATTGTAGAGCCATCCTACAAATGCCACCTCATCCAGACACCCAACCAAGGTCTCCTGCATGAGCTCTTTGTTAGTTTTCAAGGTAACAGGTCTCGGTGATTCTTTGGGAGGGATCATTTGTTTTTTTTTACAAACAACCTGAGAGTGCTAGAAACAACACATTAAACACATTAAAAAGTCCAGTATACTTCTGAAAGTTGTTTCTCTCCTTTCCTTGGGAGTCCCTGTATTTTTTCTTACTAGCCCACAGATGGAGCTAAAATGCAGTTTATCTGTTGGATTTGGAGCATTGTGCCTCTTACAGCCTTAGCAAGAAATGGTCTGTTCAAGACGTGTGGTTGGACAGGATTGTTGAGAGGAGACACCTGATAAGATACCATGATTATTTTTTTTTTCCTTTTTGTAAAAATGGTCTAACTTCTCATTACTTGATTTTTAATAAGTCTGTGACCTCTGTGGTTTTGCCTGATTCTAGGAAACTGCAGGGGTTGAAAGCAGGAGCCTCACAGTTCCCTTCTGGTCATACTGACGTGGCTGTACCAATGGGTTAAGTGAACCCTGGTTTAGAGATGGTTTATCACTGGGGAAAGGAAGTTATTCATTAACACTGACCACACTCTCCCCTGTATCTGTTCACATCAGACACCAAGAGAGACCATCCAGCAGGTTATGGAACACTTTTGTGGCCATTTTCCCCCTCAGTAAAGTCAAGAAGCATTCAGAACAAACCAAAAAGTTTTAAGTTTTACATTAAACTTCATCCCTATCTGTAACCTCTGTGAGGATCTGGTTCTGTTCTTCCTGTCAGCTTAGCATTTCCCCCCCCATATATTATATTATTGTTTATCCTCTGGCTCTTACTGGAACAAAGGGATTCAAGTAACTGGACAGAAACCACCAGGGCTGAATCTGGTTTCCCCCCCTTTTATCAGTCACTTATTTTCCAGCATTCAAATGGACCCAAAGGAACCATTTCAAAACATGAACCTGACCACAGACAGTGACAAAAATATATAAAAATAAGTTTTAAACCCACCATTTCTTCACAAATTAGAGGCAAAACTCCAGGGTACATTAGGAACAAGTGAGCACCATAAGATACTAAAAGCAACGATGCATTTTCTCTGTCCCTGTGTTCTGAAATGAACCCAGAGAGACCCACTCAAGGTGTCTGAGCCCACCGTGATATGTTCTTCAATATATTCATGTGTCATTTTTCCCCACACCCACAGTCAATCCTTTTGCACCAGGATGGGAAGAAGTTTGCCAGCACGTTCCTTATGATTGTGAAGATGCAACGAACCTGCGAGTGAAGGAGGTTGTGTCAGCTGCCCTTGTCTCTTCTCTGAACATTGAACACCAATCTCTGCCCTAGCATCTGCAGATTTGATGGGTGGTAATCCAGCTTCACCCAGATTTCATGGGATTAATGTCACTGTAAATGGCAATTCGTGGATTTTAAGCAATTTAATTCAGGGTAGAAAGCTGTTTGGAAAAGGCAAATTGATCCAAAGAGTTAAAAGTGTTAGGTACATAATGTCCTTTCTATTTACCTCCAAGAATAAAGGATGATAAACATCAGTATTTTTATTAGGACACTGAGCTCCCAGCCCTCCAAACAAAACCTTTGATTTATGATTTAGTCAACCCAATGCAATTTACAGTAAAACCCCTGTAGCTGACCCCTCAGATCTGTCCTCTGGCTTCTCAGTGTTCCAACATGCTGTCAGATCACACGTGGGTCTGACCCCAGGCCCCTGAAGCCAGGGGACAACTCCCAGCTAAGGTGACAGGTCACTGCAGGGGGGAAGTCAGAACAAGGTATTTACTGACATATTTACAGTCAAGACACAAACAACTGACTGGTTTTTATTCTCCCAATTTCTGAATTTCAGGCAACAGACCGGCTGGACAAGTTTTTCAATGAGCAGGCAGATGCTCTGAGGCACAAGTTCCAAACTCTTCCTACCATCCACTACGTGGACAACAGTTTCTCAGCGACTCGCGTCGACAGCTGTCGCCCAGGTTTTGGGAGAAATGATGTCACCCACAAGGACTGTGCCAACTGCTGTGGTAAAAACAAACCACACCCATGTAAACACACCTTAGTAGCTCTGATCACAGGTTTCTCTGGTAGATACCAGCACCAAGAGCAATTATATTCCCCATTCATCTTCTAAAATGACATTCCTATTGCAGACTGAAAACAAAGTCTGATAGGGACAGAGAAGCAGCAGCAGCATGTGTCAGGGTGTTCATGGGGGTAACTGTGCTTCCAACAGAGCAAGTGGGAGCAATGAAGTGGTTTAGGTCTTCCAGGTCACTGCTGAGTGACTATGCTCAGGATATAGAGCAAATAAATGATTACCTGAATGGTAGAACTGCCAGAGAACACCTGACTCTTAAAAGGTCTTTTGCCAGCAGCACCTACTGCTGGCTCTGGAGCTGGGGGTGTTGAGTGAGGGGCAGGCTCAGGGAGATCCCTCACAGCACAGGGAAGGCTGAGGAAGCATCTGAGGGGCCCAGCCCCAGCTGAAACGCTGCCTGTGTTCTCTTCACAGTGGTTTGTGAGCCTGGAACTTACAGTCCCAGCAACAACGTGACCTGCCAGGTTTGTGCAAGGCCTGGAGTCCAGGAGTATGGAGCAAGATCCTGCCAGTAAACCTGGGACAGGGGCTGGAAACCACAGAGCAGCTGTGACAGCTGTGTGAGCTTTGAGATGTTCTCCTCATTTTCAGCTGCCTGTTCTGGAATCCTGCACTGCCTCTTGAGCAGTCACAAAACATCATCTCTGCACCCTGGATCCTCTGCATTCAGGGGCCACTCAGACTGCAGAAGTGAAGCATTCAGAACTTAAAGTAATTTATGGGGAAAAAAGCAAACTTCTTCCTGTGGTTGTTAGTGCAAAGAGTCTGTTTCTTGGTGGTGACACCAGATATGCCACAGCTTTGTGCTGCAGTTTGCTCAGAGAGTGTAAAGGAGCCATAAACAACTCAGGGAAAGGTGGCAAGTGCTCGTGGTGGAATTATGTGCCATAACAACACATGCCAGAATCTCTGTGAGCAATTTCTAGCAGATATTAATAGAAGTATTAAATCTTTGTGATTTAAAAGTCATTAAATGCCCTTCTCTTTGTCTTTCCCCTGTGTCTTTCTCCATGTCCCAGCCTGTGTAAGGTTTTACATTGCACTGGTTAATAGCCCCCAGCCTGCTCAGGGCTCCCTGTATCACCTCACCCGTGGAGGCTCCAGGACCAGAAATCAGGCCTGTGGGAGGGTTAATAACAAATTCCACAGCCCAGCAGGCAGGAGAATGAAGCACCCAGCTTCCCTGGTTCTTCCCCAGGAAGAAGTGGGCAGAGGAGAGGCTGCAGTGCCTCCTCCACCCGCTTGCTGCTTGCTTCTCCCTCAGCTGCATGAGACCCTCAGAGCAGAGCCCTGCTGGCCCCAGGTGCTGCACAGCAGCTGAGCCTCTTACACCAGCTGGAAATTCCCCTCGAGGTCACCGGATGAGCAACGAGTCACGATACAAATTGCCAAAGCACTGAGATAATGGGAAAATTCTCTTCCCAGAAAGGACTCGCTCCGATCTGCTGTTGAAGGATAGCTGCTGGATCTGCAGCAGTTGGTCATTCTGCTCACACAGCACCACTAGAAAAGACTAATTCACTGCTCTGAAGAGCCCCACTAGCCACGCTGCCCCCTCAGCAGCCCCTCATGGTGCAGAGCAGGGGCTGTGTGAGCCCACTGGGGCAGCCAGCCCGCCGTGGAGCCACCCCAGCTCTGGCTGCTGGAGCTTGGGTTCACTCTGTGAGCTGCCCCAGGCCAGGGGCTGCTCCTTCCAGCCTGGCTTTGTTGGGGGACACCAGAGAACTCTCATCCCCTCTCCCTCATGAGGCACAGCCACCAACCCAGCCCCTTTCCTGCCCCAGTGGCACAACCCCACAATCCCAGTGCCAGGGCCTCCATGCCCTCTGCCCCAGAGAGCCATGCCCAGCTTCCCAGCACAGAGCCATCCCCTTCTCCTTCACACTATGCAGGACTAAGTCAAGCAAAAGAGCAGCTCCCACTCAATAACTACAACTTCTTATGGCATCTAGACATTCCTCAGTGGGTATTCATCCAAAAACCAACCCCACTCAACCCAGTTTCACTCATCCATCCTGACAGGGACACAGCAGGAGACGGCACAGGGACAGACCACGCTCCGAGCTCTTCGGAATCATGACTTATTAAATACTGAGGAGTAAAACGTACTGCACTGAGCAGCTCAGCTGCCTGGGGGCTGATTCCCTGAGCTGCCAACTGGACTCTGAGTGCAGGGCTGGGGCTCATGCTGGTGCAGCAGACGGGCTGGGCAGCACCCCCTGCCTCCCCCAGCCCCTGCCACCACGGAGCGATGCCACACGCATCAGTTATCCCGGGGAAAAAACCACCAAGTGCAACAGCAAGTCACAACTGAACACTTCACTCCCTCCTCCTCCTCCAAACCAGAGGGGTAGGAAGCTCTTGTAGCATCTTGGCTTTTCCAGTGGGCCTTAAAAGGGGAAAAATAGGTCAAATATTTGAGCGTTGCACTGCGGAGGAGTTGGGGTCATTAATTCTGTAGAGAGTCACGAGGAGCTGATGTGAAATGGTTCCACTCTGACCTTTCCTGCGTGAGAGTTCTCCCCGTCCAGGCTGAGCTCCTGCTGCTGGTGACAGCCCCTGGCGCAGCCAAATCTTTTATCAATGACACACCAGCCCCTGCACCCCTCTCCCATCCCTCCCCCGGGCTGCTGAGTCCCTGCCACACTTCAGAGTTCCCAAATCACTCTCACTTCATCTCACCTTTACCTCCCGCAGCTGCAGTAGCTCACCAGAGACCACAAGACCCTTCCTCACCGCTTCAAATCCTCTTTTTTGGCTCTTTTTAGACTTTCCTGATGGAAGCACGAAGCTCTTGGTGCCACAGGGGAGCCCTGGTTGCTCCTGGGAGGCTCAGCCCTTCAGAGCCCCACCTTAACCTGCCCAAACCACACAGGTCCCACCTCACTTTCCACAGAGGACAACACCACCACCACTTTAAGAGTAGTGACAAATTTTCACACATAATAAATCTAAATCTTCCCATCCCCTTTTCCACACAGGCCTCCAGTAGCACAGCCTGTGAGCTAACACCACCCCCATGAGTGGCAACAATCTGCCAACTGGAAACTCATTGCTCTAACATCAGAGCTGCTGTTCCCCAGCCTGGAACAAACCCCTTGAGAGCCACGCACCAAACACACATTAAAGGACTCACCACAGAGCTGCTGGTTGGGGGACAGCATCTGCTGGGGTGATGGTGACACCTTCACTCTGGTGGGAAGGTTGTGACTCCCCACGGCATCTCTATTAATCCATATTCCTCTGAATTTAAGGCACCAGGAGTGGAAAAGGTCACAGAGCTGTGCAGGACACCAGAGAGCAGCCTGGCTGGCAGATTTAGGGAGCAGGGCCCTGGGGTGGGACCAGGTGCCCTGAGATCAGCTCATCCCAGGAACTCATCACACCTGAGAGGGGTGGAGCTGAGCTGAGGAACTGCTGGGTGCAGCCCCAGCTCCTCCAGCCCCTGGGAATTCCCCCAAGGACCTGCTCCAGGAGCCACCTGGGGGGAAAGAGGCTTGAAAACAGAGTGGAGGGTGTCAGTTCTGTCCCCAGGAACCCACAGCTGGCAGGGCAGGGGGGCACGGGGATGTCCCGGGATGCAGCTCTGGGCTTTGGTGTGTCAGGAGGGGTGAGACCCCACATCTGGCAGGAGGCAGGAGCAGGGCTGGGACCCCCAGTGGGACATTGTGCTCGAAGGGCATCAGCTGCTCTGCTGAGCCAAAGCCCGTGCCCGGAGCCGAGGGGCTCGTGCAGGAGGCTGAGTCTGTTTGGCTGCCGCAGCCAATTCCTCCATGGGACCCATCGTTTAGATAAAATTACCCATATTTTCAAGTGCTCTGCTGAACTGGAACCAGGGGGGAAAAAATAAACCAGGAGCTTGTTCTGCTCTCTGGCATCTAAATCCTGGCGTGGAGCGAGGCCGCGGGCGGGGGGATGGACACGAGCAGCAGCCCCAGCCCACGGACACCAACCAGCCCCACGCCTGCCCCCGGGGAGGCAGGAGAAGCCTCTGGAGACACGCGGTATCCAAAAAGGGGCCCTTGCGGGCCCTCCTCGCCCGCCCCCAGCCACAACCTCATCTTACAGTCAGTGACAGGAGAGGTGCCACCTGTGCCCAGCAGTGCCCGGTTTGCACGAGGGACGGGAGGGAGAGTGAACAGCAGGCAGGGAGGGGAGCGTGCAGCCGTTTAAACACCGAGCTCTTAGCCAGGCACACAAGAAGAGCTGCTGTGATTCCCAGCTCTGCTTCGGTT